GCGCGGCTGGCGGGGTGCTTTGTGGCGGGGGCGGTGGTGGAGAGGAAGACAGTGCAGGACCTGGTGGGGCGCTCCTTTGTCAGGTGCGGCTCTTGGGAAAGGGCGGAAACTGCGGATGTACGCGCGTGCGCTGCGGCCGCGGCGGGGCTGCATTCGGGTGCTGCGCCCTGACTTTGGGGCGACACCGAAACACTGGCGGCCTGGGATCCGGCGCGTCCTGGGTCCCAAGCAGGACCTTCACAGAGGGTGTGCCGGGATTCCGCAGGACGGTCATCCCACGTTGTTTCACATTTGTGCGCCCCTGCCAGGGACCACCTGCGGCAGATGCAGCGGATGAACGCGCTGCGGGCGCTGCTGCCACACCAGCTGCTGCTCGTGGAGGGCGTCACGCGGCAGGCCGAGTCCTGCGTCGCGTACGGCACGGGTGGGCACCATGAAGCACCAAAGGCCTCATTGCGCCCGCACCCAGCAACTCCGTGAGGCGCCCGCGTCCTCCTATGTGGTGGTTCGCCCTGCTAGCGCGCCCCGCTCCATTAGCTCGCAAGTCCTTGGCACCCTCCAACGCCTTCAAACCCAACACTGACGCGCCGCCCGCCCGCCCGCGTGCCTTCCGACGCAGCCACCGCGGCGCGCCCTGACGAGGCCTACGCGCTGCAGTCCGAGGCGGACATCTGCGATTGGGTGGTGCGGACTGTCCTGAGCCCCTTCGGGACAGTCCAGAGGGTCTTCTTGGTCTCCACCCATGGCTACGCGCAGTCCGTGCTGCGCGCCCTCAGCCAGCTGCTCGCCCTCGACGCCGGCCGTCGCCTCGAGCGCGCCCGCCACATAGGGTGGCAGCCACCGCCGCCTGGAGGCACCGCCGCCTCGAGCGGCCCGCCGGGGCAGCAGCAGCAGCAGCAGCAGCAGCAGCAGGGGCGGCTCGGGCCTGTGACGTACAGGCAGCTGAAGACGCTGTGCCACCGTGTGTCGCGCCACCTGACACGCCACGAGATGCCGGAGGAGCTGCGGTCGCCAGAGGCGGCGCCGACGGTGGACGTGGAGGAGGCGTTCGACCAGCGGCTGGGGGAGGACGAGTGCCGAGTGAGTGCAGCGACTAATAGAGGGTTTGCAACAGCATGATTGAGGGAGGTTTGTCATCCATCAGAGGGCGCTGCGCGTCTGCCCTGATCGGCCTTTGCCTGGCTGCGGCTCCTAGGCCCTGGTCTGCCGCGATCTCCAGGTCAAGGCCCGGTCCCTATTCCCCCTTGCCGACGATGCAGGGGCTGAGACTGTATGCGCACGGCCGCCTGCCGGCGCTGCGCATCATGTACGCCGGCGGCCGCCGCCTGCTGCAGCTGCTGGGCGCCTGCCACAAGGCGGCTGTGGCAGGCGAGGGCGCGCGCGACGGCGACAGCTGGGATGAGGACGACGAGGAGGGCGGGCTGGGGCTGCGCGGCTGCTTGGGTGGCGTGGGCGAGGGTGCGGGCGCGGGCGCGGCGCAGCGGCAGGAGGCTGAGGTGGCAGAAGAGGTCGCCACACTGCTGGACTCGCTGCTGCGGCGCTTCGCAGACTCTGCGGCGGCCGGCGATGGCGGAGAACGCGGGGACGAGGGCGCGGGGGAGGCGGCGAGGCGCGTGCTGTTGGTGGAGAACCTGGAAGGAAGCTTGACTCAGATGCAGCGCGCCGCGTGCGACGCAGAGCGGGACCCCGGGCGCCGGCTGACGAATAAGGCCGCGCGGGAAGAGAGGGAGGCGCTGCTGGCGATGGACACTGCTGCGGTCGCCCGCGGCGCGTGGCTGTGGCTGCTGGCGCTGGCGCTGCGGCGGGGGTGGCACGTGCAGCTGGCGCAGACGCGGGAGGGCGCGGCCGCGTTCCTGCAGGCGGCGGCGGGGCGCGCAGAGTGGCAGGCCGACAGGCTCGCGGGGCGGGGCGCAGGTGGCGCGGCCTGGCGGCGGCCCGCGGCAGACGCTGACGCTCGGGCTGGTGGCGGAGCCTACGCCGACCGCAGGGCATCACAGGGGCAGGTGGCAGGTGGCGGCTGCGGCGACACAGACCGCACCCACAGGGTTGCTGCTGCCGCGGTGGCGGGACCGCCACCCCCGATCTTTGACGAGGAAGATGTGATAATCATTGACTGAGTTGTTTCTGATAGCTGAGGAAACGATCACCAGCAGCTGTCTTGCACTGAGGGAAAGCACACCTGACACCTCACTGATGAACAAAGTCAACGTCAAGCACTGAGCTGTTCTACGCAGGATTCGAGAAAGTGTACATGCGCACATGCTTTCACATGCCTCTCTATCTGTAATGTTGTTAACCATGCTGCACACCCACACGTTGCTGGCACCCGACGCTGCACCCCAGAGCGCAGGGGATGGGCGCTCGCTCACTGGACAGCCTTCAAGCCAGACGATGCTGGGTTTTACTCTGCAAAGGCCCTTGGGCATGGTGGCGGTGCAATCGGCAACAAAAACAGGGCACGGGCAACTCAACCTGTGCGCCTCCCCCCAATCTATCATCGTCGCCCAAACTTCATCGCAACTAAAAGCGACAGCACTGCCGGCGGCCCTGCAGCCCGCTCTGGCTGCGAGCAAGTGTGCAATACTGCTCTACATTCGGGATTTATGCTCACGGGGACCACTACTGGGCCGCACCCCCCCCCCCCCCCACCGCACCAACATGTTGTGTTGTCAAGTCTGACTGGGTGTGACTGATTCATGCTGCTGACGTCACCAGCAGCCGGTCCCGCAGTGTCTGCATCAGAGAACAAACACGCGTGCTACACAATGTTCCTGGGATTGGAACCTGTGGGTTTTTGTATACCAGCATACAGGGCCGATGGCGATCTCGACTGCTCAGCGCGGGCTGCGCGGGCTGCTCGTCCCCTCAGTCCTTCCAGCTACCTCGATCCGTGCGTTCACCACACAGAATCAGGAGCAAGAGAGAGGCGCGTCGCGTGGCCCGGGGCCGGCCGCGCGCTCGGTTGCACAGGAGCACCAACCTGGCGTGTGGCCTCCCAGGAGCCCCGATGCACCATCAGGTGCACAGGACCCTGCTGCTGCCGTCGCAGTCGGGATCTCATTTCTTTTTGTTGCTGATTGAGGAGGCCGCCACTTACGCAAATTGTTGTACATCAGCGCCAGACAGCGCACGACCCCTCATGCCCCAATCAAGCCGCCCTCCCTGTGCCCCACCACCCACACTGCAACAACCGCCTGCGCCTGCCGGTCGCAACCCGTGCCCGGGCCTCCCACAGACCCCGTGGATGCTGCCGGAAACCGCGGCAGCAACCCTGAGGCCTCAATTCGCAGGGCTGGCTGGCGCGCCTCCATGACACTGCAGGACCAGTGAGCTGCAGCACACGCAAAAACTGCAGACAGCGCCCGTGTGCACTCCACGCGCAGGGCAGCATAGCAGTAGTCTGGCAGAGCAGAGATGCCAGCCGGCTCGTGCAGCCCAAGGCACGCGGGCTGCCCACGCCACTCCTTGTACACAATGCAGTCCACCCCCACAGGCGCCCCGCCACGTGCCATCTCGCGCACGTGGCCGCTCCCGCCACGCTGCCGAATCTTGCCACAGACCTCCTCAAAACCTGTTCCCGTTTGCAGGTACGACGCCCCTGAGCAAGAAAAGGGCAAGGGGTACGCCAAGGTCATCCCCGAGATGGTCCAGAGCGCCGCCGCGCGTGTCAAAGACGCCGTCGAGAGCGCCGTGGGGCTGGGCCCGCAGGACAAGTACGAGGAAGCTTCCAGGCAGCTGCGCCACGACGTCGAGGGCATCCGGGAGGGCGAGGGGGAGGGTGCTAGGGACCAGGGCGGGCGGGTGAAGAAGTGAGGCAGTGACGCGCTCAGATGTTGCGCCTGTACTGTAGATACATCCACATGGTTGCTGGACTTATTGTTGCAGTTGGTGTGGCGCAACGTGTTTTGGCTGCATGTGATATTGATTAATTGGGTTTCATTCACCCTTTCCACCCTGCCAGGGTGCTGCTGCTGTTTTGATACTGGTGCTGGCATCACAAGCTTGTCCCATTTCCTGCGATGTCCAGTGATGCTTGTCCGCAAGCCTGATGCAAGCCCCACCTCAGCCAATGGACGTGAGCTGTGAAATTTCCAGTTACAGCTGAGGGGGGTTTCAGTGAATTGTGGGGGGACAATGGCCCAAATCCTCGCCTCCGCGCGAGCCGCCAGCGGGCTGGCGGCGCTGGGCAGGCGGAGGGGTGCAGGCAGGGGTAGTGCATGACTACAGGGCGTGTAAGCCGCGCGCATGTGCACGCAGAGGGGCGACACAATATTGCCGGGATGCTGGACAGAAGGAGTGGCTGTGCTTGTACTCGTTTCAAGTGTACACACAAACCCAGCGCAGACAGAGAGGCTGTGCCGAGCGGCTCGCACACGGGCCAGCCGGTGCGCTCGCCGCAACTAGTTTGTAACAAATCAAAACCAGCGCTCTTCCCAACAGTCACGACGGGCATTGGCCACGAATGTCGGATTCAGTCTTCGGTTCTTTGGCAGCAGAAGTGGCAGCGGCAGTACATACGACTATGCGGGTGCAATGAGTCGCGCTGCTGAGGTGCAACCCATGAGGCCCATGCGTGATCCGCGAGCGCGGCAAACGAAGGGGGGGCGCTTATGCGCAGATAGCTCTCTCATTCTGTTGCCAGGGCGTACCAGGTGCAGCAAACTCGCATCACGCGCTGCTGGCAACAATCTTGGGGGCGGCCGCCTCTACCGTTGCGCCCGGCTTGGTGCCGCGCTGGGAGCGGCTCTCGTAAGCAAACTTGACGGAGGCGGACGCCATGCCTGGGGAGGGGGGACGAAACGGCAGCATACAACATCAGACGGCGGAGAAGGGGAAGATAGAGTTGCAGGAGCACACACACATCACAAACTCATCAAGTTTATTGCAGATCATAGGCGAAGCTGTGCTGGCCTGTTTCAGTCACAGATGGCCCCTGACTCACCCTTACTGATCTCCTCAGGGGTGTACTCAGCCAGGTAGTAATCCTCCTCGGTGACGCCGACCTTAGGGCCCACAAACAGGCCGCCCCACATGGGGAAGTACATAGTCAGGTACAGCGCCGTCATGCCCTGCGGAGATTGATTTTAGCGGTGAGGGCGGGGGTTCAGCGGCGGTTGGGTGGGCCGGTATACTGGTGAGCCCACTGCGTGGCAGCCTGAGCAGCGCGGGGAGTCCTGGGATAGCGCCGGCTGCTGCCAACAGGGCTCTGATTCCAGGGTGGCGTGGTGGCATGCACAGCCCAGGGGTGAAGAGCACGGGCCAGTAGAGCTGCCCACGAGGCGCACCAGCGACATGACGCCCATCCAGACAAAGGCCTTGTCGGTCGGCATCGACAAGTAGGTGAAGAAGATGGCCTGCGTGACGGCGCCGCCCGCGTTGCCGCCCGCGCCGACAAAGCCGGACACCAGGCCGGTCGACCGCTTGGACACAAACGGCACGATACCGAAGGACAAGCCGCAGGACTGCTGGCAGAAGATGGAGAAGATGATGAGGATGGCCATGGTCGCGCCGAGGCTGTTGGACACGAGGCCCAGCAGGATGCAGAAGACCGCGGACAGCGACTGGATGACCCACATGACCCACAGGCGGCCGCGCATGCCGAACCGCTTGGCGGCATAGTCGGAGATCATGCCGCCAGAGGGGCGGCTGAAGAGGTTCATCATGCCGAAGACGCTGCCAAGCATGCCGGCGATGGAGAGGGGCAGGTGGAACTGGTCAAACATGTACTGGGAGATCACGTTGTCGACGGTCAACTCAACGCCGAAACCATAGCCGTACGTGATGGCCATCACCTGCGGGTTTTGGGGAGAGGTGCCGATGATTCGTCATGGTGGGCGCGAGGGTTGGAGGACGCGGGCGCAGGAGTCAAGCTGGGCGCTGCGCGCAGGCGGCAGGCAGGCAGGGCAGGGCAGGCAGCCAACAAGCACAGCGGGCCAGGAGCATGAGCGGGCGGGGCACAGGCCGTCCAGAATGAGGGAAAAGCTGGCCGGCGAGCTCGGCGCGTGCCACCGGGCCTCACCCAGGTGCGGTAATTGAACACGGCGGCCTTCCAGACGGACGCGCCGCCGGGCTTCTTGAGGGCGCCGTGGCTGTAGAGGTCGGCCATGTTGCCGTCGGGCATGTCCTGGGCCATGACCATCGTGAGGATGGTGAGCAGCACCTGGAAAGACGCTGGCACGAAGAAGGCCCAGCGCCACGCATGGAAAACGGCGACGCCGCTGGCGGCGATGCCGTCGAAGATGAGGGGCATGATGAAGGAGGTGAAGCCGCCGCCCATGTTGCCCCAGCCGGCGGCAAAGGCGTTGGCGGTGCCGACCAGCTTAGTGTTGAACATGCTGCGGGGTTTGGTGGGGTGTGGGGGTCGGATGTTCAGGAATGAGATCCTGGCAGCTGTGTGCGCGAGGGTCCACGTGACCTTCCACATGATGGCACATAGCTTGGGCCACTGCATTTCCCCATGAGACGACCGGACAGACCCTTCAGAAGCATGCCCTTCAGAAGCATGCAAGGTGCCGCGCTTGCCGGCAGGGCGCAGGCCGCCGAGGGGCAGCGGCGGGCGGGGGCCCCCACCTGGTGCACCAGAACTGGCAGGCGACAAAGGTGGCCAACGAGAACCCGATGAACAGGCGGGACAGGATGAAGCCGATCGCGCTGGTGCTCATGCCGATGCAGTACACGGCCGGCGCGGTGAGGCCGATGCAGATGCTGATGCCGAAGCGGGGGCCGTAGACGTCAACAAAGTTGCCCATGGCCACACGAGCGGCAATGGCGCCGACGACAGCGGCGATCCCGGCGTTACCCAGGTCCACCTTCGTCTGTGGGTGGATTGAGTGAAGGACGATTATGAAGGAGGTGGCTGGGTGAGTATGAGAGGGGCGAGTTGGGGCGCAGGCCTGTACTGCTTGGCGCGTGCCGGCAGGTGTGACTGCGGCGGCAACCGCCGTTCCCAGCACGCAGCAAGCGATGCCAGGGTTGCGGCCGCGGCTGTCGCGCAAAGCATAGCTGATAAGAAGCCCGCATCAACGCCAGCTGGCCGTCGCATGCGGTTTCAGAGAAGTGTGGGTGAGTGACCCCTGGCGGGGTCCCAAGGGGCCGGTGGCTGCTCAAGGGGCCCCGTGTGCGCCCCAGCCTGCGCACCAGGTCCAGGTTGTCACGGATGACAGGCAGCAGGGCCGCGGGTGCGAATGTGGAGACGAATGCCGCGAAGAAGGCCAGCCAGCTGAACTGGAAAGCCATGTGGTGGGGCCGCTGGAAGCTCCAGATGCGGAAGCGCTCGGATTTGTGCTCTGGGGGTGAGTAGTGAGTGGAGCACATGGGGCAGGACGTTGGTGGGGGCGCACCAATGAAGGGAGGTGTGTGATGCTGCTTCAGCTAGCGTAAAGCTGCAAGTACGATATGCGTGAACAGCGCCGCCCCTGGTGTTGGTGGCACCCGCACCAGCAACAGCAGCGGCGTCCCCTTGCGTCACATGGGCGGCAGTGTTGCGGCCGTCGCAACACTGGGGTGAACTGGCCATCTGACGCCGTCAGTGCAATAAGCTGGCACTGAGCTGTGCTGAGAATCATGTTGGAGCCGGCCGGTGTGCCCAGCACGCCGGGATGGCACTCACCCGAATCGACCGGTCCCTTGAACTTGGGCGCGCCATCGTCAACAATCTTCGTGGGATCGGACTCCATAGCTTTTGGTTTAGAAGAGGGACTGAGTGGGCCGTGCACGGTTGCAAGTCAGCCTGGGTGGGGTGCCACCGGGTACCGTGCTGATGCCTGTTGTGCAAGCAATCTCGGATGGTAAAAGGTGTGGAAGTGCGCGACTTAATAACCTACACCTCGAGGAGGCTATCTTCTCATTCGCGGGGTCGGAGTACACTCTCTGGGGCACGTCGTGTTGACGCTTGGGACCAGTGCCGAGAGGCCAGGGTGCATGTGGGCAGCGCGCGTGTCCAGCCAATCAAATAGGGTCGTCAGCGTTATATAACGACCTGTTTACAGCCTTTGATCAAGCAGGTTTGTTTGGCGCGGCGCAGAAGGTACGTGCTCCCTTGGCTGCCTCGCCTGTCCTGCAGCCCACGTGAAGCATGTGGGCCCCACCTATAGGGTGTGTCAGCCGGTGTTGGGGACGGGTGTGTGTTGCATGCTTAACAGCTGCATGCACCTTTCAGTTACACGGTTTGCGCCACACACCCCATGCAGGCACGAGTGCCACATTAATCAAAGCCACAGTCAGATAGAGCGCGGCACTGCAAGCACCACGGGCGGGGCGCATGCCGACAAATTGCCCTGCCATCTGAGGCCTCCCCGGTTGTAGGGCATTACTACAACACACATCCTGAACCTGTTGCATATGGTGTTCCCTTTCCCTGGATCCCCACAGTTGGCAGGGGTGCAATCCGGGGTGTGCCGTGGAGCTCTCGACACAAGCAGGGGTCGCGCGGCGTATCAGTGCTGATGATGGCCGCACAAGCGCTTCATTGCACTGCATCACACCCATCAACATCAACAGGCTCCTGGACCACAGAACGCAGCAGGGATGGGTCATCCAACCAGCACACACGCGCCAGTCATGCGCCGCCGCCCATGCCCCGCGCCAACCCCTCAAACGCGCGCCGCGCCGCGTCCCGCCCCGCTCTCGCCGCCATCTGCACCGGCCGGTAGTACACCTGTGCAATGTGCAGTGCGCAGCGGCGATGTGGCGGGGAAGGCCGTTCAGACAGCGATCATGCCTCTCAGTGGCAGCCTCGCCTCCATCTCCTTCCCCTGGGTTTGCTCCTTCGCCTGCGGGCGCGGCGGGGGCACGCCTCGCCCTTCCCATTTCGACGTACACATGCGCGCAGCAGGTCCGAGAGCAGGGATGGGCTCACCAGAAGGAACGCACGCTCCGCGTCGGCGTCCCCCTCGGCGCGCCGCGCGCCGCGGTCCAGGGCCTCCAGCAGGTCCAAACCTGGCGGTGCGAGGCGCGTGCGCGCGCGCCTCTTTACTTGGGGTAGAGGCGCACTCTGCAGGCAAATGTCGGCATGTGCGTCTTGGAACAGAACGTCCCTGACCGCCCGCCGCGCCGGCCGGGCGCTCAGCGCTGATGCAGGGACGGGGGCACGCGGGTGGTGCCGGCCGCAGATGGCGGCGCGCTGCGACGCAGCTCACCTGCCCCGAGCTCGAGCCCCAGCCTGGCCAGCGCCCCGTACGCCTGCCACAGCTGCGACGCGTCTGGCAGCTGCAGCACCGCCTGCTGCTGCTCGTCTCCTCCCGACTCTGGCTGCTGCAGCACCGCGCCGTGGCCCTGGCCTTCGCCCTGCCCTGCCCGCCCTGCCTGCCGCTGCTCGTGCGACTGCTGCGCAGCCGGCAGCGCTTGCACTGCAGCTCCAGTGGCGGGGTTCAAAAGAGCTGCGGCGCCGGTCGCGGGTGCCGCACACGCGTCGACGCCGCGGCTGGGCGTTCCGCCGCCGCTGCCGCACCCAGCGTCGCCGCCGCTGCTGCTGTGGCGCGCCGCGCTACCTTGGCCAGACCCCTGCACGCTTGTGGCCTTGCCGGCGGACGAGGGAGAGTGGCCAATGCTTGGTGCAGCACCGCCTGCCGCTGCAGCCATGGGAAATCCAGGCGGCGTCTTGCACGGCTGGCCATGAGGCCGCTTAACGGGCTGCTCAGGAACCTGCAGCTCGTCTTGCCGCCCTTGCCCTGCATCCTGTGCAGCGGCGCTTTTTGCCAGCACGGCCGCAGCCTTCGCCTTGCGCTGCGCTGCTGGTTGGCGCCGCTCCGCCGCTCGCGCCTCCTCCCTCGCCTGCGGCTCCTGCTCCCTCTCTCGCGCCGCGGCGCGGGCGTTCCGCGCCGCGCGTGTCGCGGCCCGCCACGCGGTGCGCGCCGCGGCCTCGCTGTCTAGGGTGCCTGCATCCTCCACCGCTGGGGCGCGGCTCCACTCGTGGGGTCCCCGCTGAAGGCGCTTCACCGGTGGGCTGCTCTCGCCCCTCTGCCCGCCACCGCCACCCCCTTGAAAGCCGGGCGCGCTGGGGCGCGACGACCGCACCGCCGCTGTGTGCACGCAGCGGGCCGCCACCTGCGCCTGGTAATTAGAGCAGCCGAGCCGCCGCCGACCCTCGCGCGGGCGCAGAGTCATGCTGGCAAGTGGATGCGCCGCCGCCGACGATGCAGGGGGCCGCTGCGGTGTCTTGGCGCTTGCGTGCTGCACCACCAGGACCGGCTGCCCGCCCGCCACCAGGGCCCGGTGCACCAGGCTACCCTCCTCCACGCGCATGGGCGCTGGCAGCGCCGGCCTGCCGGCGGGCGCCGCCGGCGCCGCGGAGCGGCGGAGCGGCGCGCCGGCGGGGCAGACCTTTATGGTGAGGCCCCAGTGGCTCTTGGTGAAGCCGCTGATGGTGCGCCCCGCGCAGCTGGAGAGGTTCAGGCCCCGCAGCTCGGCAAACCCTGCACCCCTGCCGCCGCCCACCAGCCGGCAGCGCTGCCAGCCGCCCGTCAGGTTGATCGAGCCGCACGCGGCGCGCACGTCGACGAAGGCGGGCGCGGGGTCGCCGGGCCAGAAGCGCCGGACCATGCCGGGGGCAAGTCGGAAGGGCTTGCATGCCGAGGCGAGCCTGATGGCTGGGTAGGGCTTGCCGTGCAGGCGGGCCTGCGTGTGCACGCAACACGGGTGTGTAATGCATGGTGCCAGCATGCGAGTCTATTGCGAGGCCGGTTCATCGCGTGGGAGCTCAGGCTTGCTGGCGGCGGAGGGATGCTATCATCCGTTCTTGCTGAGCAAGCGCGCTGCGCCCCTGCTGCGGCAGCGCTCAGCCTATGTTGTCAGGCACACGCCGCGCCGAGACGCGCTGTCAGAGGGCCTGCTCCAGACGCAACAAAGGCCCCAGTAATGCAGGATGCTGCGAGCGGCAGGTGGGCCTTACTGGGTACTCCAGCAAGGCAGGCTCCGGGGCTGCTGCTGCGGGGGCGGCGCTGGTGCGCTGCTTCTTGGCCGCAGGGCCGCCGCCGCCCGCGGGGCGCTCGTGGGCGCGCTTGTACGCCTTGGCGGCTCGGAGCTGCGCATCCGCCTCTTGCCGCCGCCGCTGGCGCTGCCTGAGCGATTTCTGGCGTGTCTGCAGCTCGGCCTCCAACTGACGCCGCCGCACCTCCTGCTGCTGTTGCAACCGCTTCTCTTGCAGCCGCTGCTGCCGCGCCTCAAAATCATGAGCCTCCAGCTCAAGCTCAAGAGCGGTTTGCTGACGCCTTGGGCGGTACGCTGGCGGCGGCGGCGGCGGCGGCGCCGGCTGCTGCTGCTGCTGCTGCTGCGGCTGTTGCTGTGGGACATGACCTGGCGCGCCCTGATCAACCCTCTCCTCCTTGACACATGGCAGCTCCTGCCAATGTCGGCGAGTCGGTGGCGGAGCCTGCACCCCACTCCCGCTCGCGCCGAACCCGCCCAGCTGCATGCCCGCGGCAGCATCTGGCGGCTCCTGCTTCACCACAGGCTGCATCGACCGTAGCTGCTGCAGCTGCATGGCCGCGCGCACGAGGGCTGCGCGCAGCAACGCTGGATCGACACCGGCTACAGCGAGCCCGGCCGTGGGCGGCAGGCCCTGATCGGCCATAGTTGCTATATTAACGAGGTAGTCTACACAATCAGCGCAGGGGAATGCGGAACGCGTGCCGTTCGCTGTGTCGGAGTGAGCAATGACGTATTCCAAGCCCAGTGATAATGTGGCCTCCGAGCGTGCAGGGCTATCAAACACATACCGCACAGATTTGAGTGGCTCACGAGCCCAAGGATGAGTTGCTGGCAAGACCCCCAAGCCGTGCTGGGCTTTGCCACCCTCGCACCCTGTCACCCAGCACTCACCCGCCTCTCTCGCAGTGGATGTCCTGGCAAGCAGTGCAAGCATCTGCTCAGACTTGCAGCTGATGGCACAATAGTCACGGTGCACCATAGCTAAGTGTGACTGCGTGCTGTCGCGCCTGAGGCTGAACCCCTGCACCTTGTGACCCCCATGCAGATTGGCGTAAAGCTGGCTCCAGTACTGGCAGTGCAGTACAGGCAACCAGAAGGGGCTCAGTGCAATGCATATCTTGAATGACGGCATGGCACAGGCATGCGGCTGACACCCAAAAACACCTCTGTGTGGGCAACGGTCAAAGCGTGGTTACCGGTAGCTGTGCAGCCAATGCCTTGGATTGTGGCAGCAGAAGGAATGCAGAAGATTCTGCACCAATTGCTGCACTCTTTCTTGGACGCAACACACGGAAGTGTGTGCACCTGTCCCAGCGTGGGAGCGCCGAGTGAGTTGTCACCTGGGTGCTGTGACCCTGGATGCAAACCATCCTGGCGCAGACAGACAACACAACTATACATTGGGCGCTGCCATTGGTCAAGTGCTGTTGTTTGGTGTATCACACGTGAGCTTGTTATCGCAGTGTTGTAGATCTCCCGCGCTGCTTGCATTTCGCATGCAGATCCGTGTCATTTGTCGAAGGAACGGCGACAAAGGAACACGCAATCAGAGCAGGCTTGAGTTCGTGAGCGCAGGCCGAAGTTTGGCGGACCTCGTCAGCGGCAGCAAGCAGCGCGACGCTTCAGATACACCGTGCAGCACAGCAACTGATGGACGGCCTGATCGCGGCCGCTGTGGTCGTCGTCGCGGCACTCCTCGTGCTGCTTGCCTTTCGCCAGAAACAGGCAGCATTCAAGGGGCACGTGCAGACGGTCAGCAGCGCCGCCAAGCCTAAACGGCAGCTGGTTATAGGGACCTGGTCGCGCGAGGAGGTTGCCAAGCACGCGTCGGCAGATGACCTTTGGCTCATCATCCAGGTGGGCTGCAGAGCCATCAACCGTCCCATCCTCTTCTGCGTGTGGACGCGGCGCCTGCACGGGCTGCAGCAGGCAGACGAGCGACGCTCAGAGCAGGGCAGGTTAGGCCACGGCAGCGTGCTGAGCTGTGCACAGGAGGCGCCGCTCATGCCCTCTCCTCTCCCATCACCTTCGCAGGACCAGCGCAGCAAGGAGTGGAGGGTATACGACATGACAGACTATGTTGACGAGCACCCCGGCGGCATGGCGATCATGTACAATGCGGGCGGTGACGCCACCCAGGGGTTCCATGGGCCACAGCACCCGCCTACAGTGTTTGACATCCTAGGGGACTACTGCATAGGCACGCTGGCCGACCCGTGACTCGGACTCATGATCCTACCCCATGGCGGCGGTGGAGCCGCGGGCGCCGGTGGGGTATCAAGGCGGGAACAGCTGCACCCTTTGCTCATAGCCAATGCACGAAAGCCTGCTGCTTGTTTCAACAGTGACAGGGTTCTGAGCTACATCAGGTCCTGTGACTTGGTGTCGACCAGGCTATGTGGGTGTATTTATCTGCCGTGTAAGCCTTTTGTTGACCCCTGGTTGTCTTGAATGCGAGAAGAACTGATACCCGTTTCGGCCTTCAGCCAGGACTTTTTGACCGTCAACCAGGCCGGTTTCGTGAGGATGCATGTGCCACTGTCTGAAATCTCAACAGCAGAAGGTATGCAATTATGGCAAGCACTCGCGGCTCGGGGCTATCATGGGCACTGTACAGAAGTACAGCACTCTCCGCTCGCACACAAGTGACGTAGACAGCGCATACACAAGTGATGTAGACAGCGCGGCTTGCCAGGGATCCGCGGCAGCCACATTTATACAAATTCTGTGCTTTTGCACCTCACATCAACTCCGGTCCGCAACTGAACCCACTCGTAATTCAAGCGGATCTCGCAAAGCCTGTAAGACCGCGGTGTAGCACCCGATGGCCTGTCACAGTCGGTTTGCAACTCATTCACTTTTGCATAAGAGTTGCGCCCCACCGTGCAAATGCGAACATGGGCATGCTGTGACGCGGCAACACGCTGCAGCAGTGCGCGTGCTCGGAGGCGGCTTCGCTGCTGCCCTGGCCGCCGGCACCCCAAGCCCCGCACATGCAATGCAGTCAGTGCAAACTGCACTTGCAGACCTGGCAGTGGCAGCCGATGGCGGCATGGGCGTGTACGCGCTGACGCAGCAATTTGACGTTTTAGTGCAGCAGCAGCTGACCGGCTTGACGCCGGCAAGCTTTGCCATCGTGCTGGCTGCTGGCCTGGTCACCAGCTTGTCACCATGCACGCTGAGCGTGCTGCCCTTGACTATAGGCTACATAGGCGGGTATGCACCCTCCACTGCGGGTGGCGTGCAAAGCGGTAGCGACGGCGGCACAAGCACCAGTGGCGGCACGCCTGCAGCGAGTGCGGTTGAAGATGTTGGCGATGGCAGCGAAAGCAGCGCCCCTACCAGCAGCAGCACCAGAATTGTCACACCCCCGCAGCAGCAGCAGCAGCAGCAGCAGCAGCAGCCGCGGCCCCCGCCCCTGGCGCTGCAGGCGCTCAGCTTCTCCCTGGGGCTTGCCAGTACATTTGCGGCGCTCGGCGTCGCCAGCAGCCTCGCGGGCAGGGCGTACGGCACGGCCCTGGGGGACGCGGCGCCGCTGGTGGTGGCGTGCGTGGCCATTGCCATGGGGCTCAACCTCCTGGAGGTGGGGGCTGAGGGCCTGATGGATGCTGCATGACACGTCCGCTGCTGCGCCTGTGTAGTGTCTGTCGCACGCGCTCAAATCGTATGTGCTTGTGTAGTCTTCCCCTGCGCCGCGCCTTCTTGGTCCCGAGCACCACCGTCTGCCCTGCCGATCTCCAACAACCAACCGCTTCCCGCCAGGTCCTGCCGCTGCGCCTGCCCTCCCTCGACGTCGACGTGCGCCGCCTGCCCCTACCGCCAGCCCTCACTGCCTACCTGGCGGGTGCGACGTTTGCGCTTGCGGCGTCGCCCTGTAGCACGCCCATCCTGGCCACTCTGCTGGCCTACGTCAGCGCCAGTGGGGACCCGCTGCGCGGCGGCGCGCTGCTGATGGCATACTCCCTGGGATACGTGGCGCCGCTGCTGTTTGCGGCGTCGGCGACGGTGGGCGGGGGCGGCTGGGTGGTGGTCCGGGCGGATGGCGGGCAGGCTGGCACAGATGGAGCTTGCATGTGAAAGACGATCGCAAGGTGGATGCCGCTGCGTGCAATTGTGTCGTGGCATCTCTTTTTTCATGTTTCCTGAGCCGGATGATGTTGACGAGCATGATGAGGAGCGCGTCACACACCAAACCCAACCTGCAGCTCACCAACCCTGTCCCTGTGCGGCCCCGCAGGGCGCCGTGAAGCAGGTGCTGGCGCTGCGGCAGTACTCGGCCTGGGTCACACCAGCCAGCGGGGTGCTCCTTTTGTCGGGCGGCACGTACGCGCTGCTCTCGCGGATCGCGTGATGCCCGCTATGCCAGGATGCACACGTGAACATCACCATGCTCGACGGCAGTGCTGTATGTGCAACCGCTGCTTGTCATGTCATAGAGGCTGGCGAAGGTTATCGGCACCCAGTAATTGTCTTTTTTGGATACTGAGCAAGCAAATGCGCGCAACCGGTTCCAGGAACCATGGCAAAGGGGCCACAAATCACGGCATCAAAACCAATTCACCGCAGGTCATGCGGGCTGTAAACTGCCCCAAACCAAATAAAGCGCACTCCATGTGCTTCAGCATTAAAACCACATGCTGTGTATCACGACTCAATAAACGGCAGGGTTACGGCGATCCCGGCCTGCCCAGCGTCGAGCGCCTCCCAGGCAAAGCGCAGCACTCGCGCCGCAGGCGCAGTGGAAGGCGAAACCACTCCCCGTTCTGCCTTAGCGGGCACAGGTCCACGACATCGCCCTCTTTTTGTCCTTAGCTTCGCATAGTAGCCAAGGTGCGGCCTCGCACAGAGGGTCGCCGCTGCCCACAGTCTGAACGCGTGTGCAGCAGGCAGCGGCCCTCCTAGACGGGAAGCAAATGATGTCGTAATTTGTGACTAGACCTGCGTTTTGCAAACGTCTTTGGCTGTTGAAGGCTGGCGGCGAGTGCTGTCGCCCAGCATCACGGCCAGCCCGCAGCCACATCGCCGAGCATCAGTGCACAAAACTGGGACTCCAACGGAGCACCTTAGAATCGACTTTTCTTGCAGCTGCCTGCTGCACCGCTCCGCGTGCGGCGGTGCTCCAAGTGCGCTCATTGCTGCGCCGCCTCCGCCACTGTCGCGCCTGCGCCCGTGCCCCACAGCGGACAAAACTAGCTTGCGATGGCGATCGCTAAGGCTGCCAAGGGCGTGGCCGCCAAGAAGAAGGCCCAGGTCTTCGTGATCGACTGCAGGTGCGTGAATGATTTGTCTGCTGTTGTGGATGCGCAGCGTGTTGCTGCCAGCAGTGAATAGTGGTGGGTTGAGTGTAGGCCGGGGACCTGTTCAACTAGGGAGACAAGGTGAATGTGCGATTGGCACTTGGACTAGCATTTGCAGCGCAGTGGTGGCAGAAATTGCGGCAGGCGCAGCGGCAAGCGTCATTGCAGCCATGAGCAGTGGCGGACGCCGCTTGGGCAGGCAGCGACTGGCAAAACGAGCAGCGCCATCGTGCGGCTGCTGTGGTGGTTGGTGGCCGTGTGGCTGCTGAGCTATTGCGCAGCAGCAAGCAGTGGTGTTGCTGCTGCAACGGGTTATGCTTGACGGCATCGCCAGTGAACCGCCACGCAGTGTGGCCAGCCTGCCTCGCTGCCTGGCATGATGTAGGGGATACCAACCGCAGCAGACATCCGGCAGCATCGATGGATATCTCAACAGCAGCTGCCGGGCGCCAAGCACTGCAGCTGGGCATGTCCCGGGCGTCGGCATCCTATGGGGCTGTGCTGCCTCCTTGGGCTCGTTGCCTCCACATACGCCCTCGTAAAACTGCATGCTGTGACGCGCACACCCACACACCCACCCTGAACCCCTTCCTGCCCTTGCAGCAAGCCCGTGGGGGACTCCATCATGGAGATCGCGTCGTTTGAGAAGTTCCTGGCCGACAAGATCAAGGTCAGCGGCAAGACCGGCGTGCTGGGGGACAACGTCAAGGTGCGGGGCCGCGCGGGGAGCGGAGGGGAGGGCAGGGGAGGGGAGGGCACCAACGCTGGAAAAAGCCGACCGGCTGCGCGTTGGATGCCGCGGCGCCGCCCATCAGGCTCCGTTTCCTGCATTGCTGCAAAGCAGTTTGAACATGCGTGGGTTTCCAGACCTCCCCCCACCCAGTCTGTCCACTCATCTGACCCCACCCCGCTCCCCTGTGCCCAGGTGTCCCACGACAAGTCCAAGGTGACCGTGACCAGCGAGGTGCACATGTCCAAGCGGTATGTCAAGTACCTCACCAAGAAGTTCCTCAAGAAGCACAACGTGCGCGACTGGCTGCGCGTCATCGCCTCCAACAAGGACCGCTCCGTCTACGAGCTCCGCTACTTCAACATCGCGGAGAACGAGGGCGAGGACGACGAGTAGAGGGGGCCGCGGCCAGGGGGCCCGGGGACGCACGGCCGCCGCGCCCTCGCGGGGTGTGAGGGCGGCACGGAGTTGTTTCTCTCGGCGGCGCCGCGGGCGCCGTGCGCAGCCTTGCTCTTGCTCGCGGGCTGCGGTCGTGTGTAACCAGGTCACTGCGTCTTGGCTGCCAGAGCGCCGTCGCGAGTCATGCGCGACTTGATGACAACGACAACAAAAGGGCATGTGTTACACGAGCAGCGGCACAGATGGCATCAGTTGCCGTCCTTGCCGCTAACCACTGCATTGCATCAAAGGCCGCTGCTTCTTGCATTGCAGTTTTCTTTCAAGGAAATCTTTTCAGTGTGCCGCAGAGACACAAAAAGCACATACAAACACACATACACCCACACACGGCACACGATGCAGCATCGCCACTGCGCCTGCTGGTGAGGTGCGGCCGCCCTCACGCGAGTGCTGGCCGCCACATCACCTCAGTAATGGCGTCACATTGGCGCAAGAAGCAGTTTCAAAAGACACGTGTCGTTTGCCGTAGCCCGGGGTCAAGGGACCGCAGGCCCCGTGCGCATCTGCTCATGCCCCACAGCCAGCTGCCGGGGCCCCCGCACACCCGAGGCTGCGCTGCCGGCCGTCATTCAGAGCCGGCCCTGCGGCCGTGCCGCTGCGGGCGCGCGCCCGGCCGCGGCGCGGCTGCGTCAGTCCACCAGGCTGGGGTTGCGGCGCTGCAGGTGCACTGCCTCGATGGCGTCCAGGACGTCCTGCCCCAGCTCGACCCCCGTGAAGCGCAGGTTGGAGGCCAGCTGGTCCAGGCTGGTGGCCCCCACGATGGTGCTGCCCACGTACGGCCGCGACGCCGCCCACGCGTAGGCGAGCTGCGCGGGCGTGAGGCCGCAGTCCGCGGCGATCTCGGCATAGCGCGCGGCGGCGCGCTGCACGCGGTGCGAGGTGAAGCGGGCGTACCTGGGGGTGGGGTGGGGGGCGTTGGGGGTAGGGTCATGGGACCGCGCTGAGCAGAACAGTGTGTCTGCGCGCGCGTGCGCGCGCGCGTGTGTGTGTGTATGTGTGTGTGCGTGTTTGAGCATAGCGTGCAAGTGCTTCTGTTGGCAGGTGTGGTTGGATTCACGGGACGGGGCGAGCCCAGGCGCCAAGTTGGGGCGGGCGGGGGCCGCTTGGGGCGTGCCTGCTCACCTATCAGCGAAGAGATTGAGGCGGCTGGTGGGCCCCGCTGGCGAGATGCCCTCCGGCACCGTTTCGAGGTACTTGCCACTGGGTTGTGGGCGAGAAAGGGGGAAGACGATAAGGGGCAAATGGAAAAAAAGCGGTCGCGTGTGTCATACGTGGTATACACGGGCCGTGAGCAGCGGAGTTCACCTGAGTGCCCCACCAGCCAGTGCGGACCACGGCAGCAGGGGGAGGTTGAAGTGGCGCCGCGAGCACGTCTCCGCGAGCTCGCCCTCAAAGGTGCGGTGCACCTGCAGTGTTGGTGGCAGTGCCACACCCACACGGTGTATAGGCGAGAGCAACTTGACGGCGGAGATGGCGGCACACAGAGGGGTGCTGAGTGCTTGCCGGGAATCAAAAGACAGAGACGCCTGAGCAGCACTCAAACAGTTGCAGGGGGCCCTAATCGCTGCCGCTCTCCCGTGTGCGCCCTTCTAGCGCAACGCAGCCCCCCAACGTCGGGGACGCTAGCCGTTCCCCACCCCAGCAAGGCTGCCCCACGCCTGATCGCACCAGGGAGAAGCTGTTTTGAATGGCGATGGGGCGGTCCACGCCCATCGCGTCCGCCACCATGCAGTACATGCACTATGGGGGCAGGGTTGGCCCAGCCAGGGTAAACAGGCGGCGGGAGAGGTTCATCTTCAGTGAGGTGTCAAGCGGCAGGCGCAAGGGTTACAGGCGCGGCTGGGGCGCACAAAGCGGCACCGAAGCGCTCGCGAGTGACGAGTGCAAAACCAGCAGCGGCGCGGTAGCAGGGGGACGCACCACCCCAAAGGAGGTCTCATTGGAGAGCGCCCAGTAGCGTATCTGGGCGAGACGCACCGCGGTTTGTCGAGGGCAGAGGGGGGCAAGGCGGATGGGTTCGCTGGCTGGTGGCTGCCGGCCAGGCTGGCACAGCCCGGGCATGAATTACGCCGGACACAGCCGGGGCTGGCTGGGGCGCAAGGCGGCTGAGACACATGCTACACCCAAAGCCTTTCCGCTGACCGCCCTGCCCCCGTGCCTCCAGCAGCCCTCCTTGCGGCCTAAACCCTCTGGCCCCCAGAACTCCCAACCCCACCTTGCCCTCCTCTATGAGCTGAGCGATGGCCGCCACCAGGCTGGAGAAGGGAGAGTAGTCCCACTCCTTTTCGGTGAGGTACTGGCTGCGGCCAAAGCCCGCATAGTACCTGGCAAAACGAGAGGCGGGGCGGGGTTGGTTGAGTGACCTGAGGGGTGACTACAAATGAGGAGGCGGTGTGCCGGGAATAGGGAGTTGGGCAGGGGCAGAAGCCACGTCAGAAGGCGCGGACAAGCCGCAGACAGAGGGGGATTGGCGCGGCGAGCGGCCAGGGGTCGGAGGGGGGGCGCCCTCTGCTGCAGCCCCACTCCACCTGTCTGGCCAGTGCAGGTAGAGGATGTCAATGTAGTCAGTGCCAAGACGCCTGGGGCCGCGGTCGGGGCGTCGTCGGGGGTTGATACAAGGGGCCGTGCACGTGAGCACCACTCCACACAGGATGTCAGCCGGGACAGGCGTGCAGGCACGACCGGACGCTGCAGCGCCACCCAGCCATGCGCCCGCACGCTGCATGTACCTGTGCGTAGCCAGGCGCCCCTGGCCCCCCATCCGCCGCCACCCCACCCCGCCGCAATGCACACCTCAGCTCCGCTTCTGCCGCAAGGATGATGCTGGGGCCGTCCAGCACCGGGTTTGCGTCCTGCCCTGGCGGGTCTGTCCGCTGCGCCGGGATCCACTCCAGCCCGGTGCTGCGGCCCGCGACCTTGGACGCGATCACGAGCTCGCTGCGCGGCCGCGCGCCCTGCTGCAGCCAGCGGCCGATGATGCGGGACGTGGCGCCGGCCGTCTCGCGGCGGGGGGCGACGGGGTAAATC